GATCGACAGTAGAGAAGCAGAGGATAAAGCTGCCATGTGTGGCTGTCTGAACAGTCGCCCAGGATGCTGAACACGTGAAGGCACCTTATACAGTCAGACTATTAGTCAAGGTCAGTATTGCCTTCCCCGACTGGAAGCACTTCTCTGGGGCTTCAGGCCGAAGCCTTTCATATCATCTACTAACTGATCTTTTGGCTGGAAATGCTGGGGTTTGAACTTGGTGCCTTCTGCATACAAACCATATGGCCTACCAGTCAGCCGTAGCCTCTCCCAAGCTACAGCTTCTTAAAACACAACCCTGAGGGAATTGCAGGGCTATTTTTGGGCAGGAACGCACAGGAACGGAGTTCCGGCTGGCTTCCAAGTTGGCCACACCCAGCAGGAACTCATTAGCATAATAGGCCACACCCAACAGCAGGAACTCATTAGGATTGGCTACATTAGGGGTATGTGGCCTAACATGCAAAGGAGTTCCTGCTACAAAAAAGCCCTGGGTTTGGACAACAAACAAGGTAAACAGAATAAGAAGCAAAAGGTGGGTGTGGCTGGATGAGCACACTTCTGGTAACATGGGGGTGGGACCTAATATGCCAATGAGCTGTGCTGTCAGGGGTGTGGCCTAATATGCTAATGAGTTTCTGCTGTTAGGTGTAGTCTATTATGCTAATGAGTTCCTGCTGGGTTTTTTGTACAAAAAAAGCCCTGGGGAATTGTATGATGAAAAGAAAATGGATGCAACTATGCATCATGTTTTTAAATTGCAGGATTGGAATTTTGCTTGGTTGCCAAACTTAGAACTATAATATAGAATTCTAGCATCCATGGCCATAGGGTCCACATCTAAGTAATTATATTTCACTGGGCTAAACCATGTTATTTTAGCATTCCAGACCCATATTTACCTCATAATCCCTTTCCACAGTAACTCCCATGTTCCTTGGGAGAAGTGGAATCAATGCCCCATATGTTCTTCCGCTCCCCCTTTCATCAAGTTTATAGGGATAAGCTTATCTCCCCCCCTCTTAGATAGGCCAGCACCTGTGGCGGATAGTGCTGATCTAGGGAGACTTCTGACAGAGGAAAATCAGCAAAACTCCAGACAAATAGCTAAATTCTGCTTGCAGCTGGTAAAATCCCACAATAAAAACCCTCAATCACCTTTTGCATGACTTATAATTAGTTTAGTTTTAGACATTTTCATAGTTATTCTGATATAATGGAATGTTAAACTTTTTATTTTTAACATTTTAATGGTTTTAAGGTTATATGTCTAAATATATATTTTTGGACTGAAAACTAATCTGTTTGTATTTAACGAATATGTATTATTTTGACAAATGGTCTTTGACCGTAAATAAACATCAAATGTGACGATATCCCACAGTAACTACAAGAGGATATGAGGATAACAGCACAGGGGAAAATAATTGCAAATGAACTTTATATCACATCCCAACCCAGCATGGTATAGTGGTTGCAGCACTCTACTAGGATCTGGAAAACTCGGGTTCAAATCCCATGAAGTTCACAGGGTGACCTTGGGCCAGACACTCTCAGCCTAACACATCCCACAGGGTTGTTGTGAGGATAAAATGGAAGAGGATCACAGCACATGTTTGTAGAGGTGGTCTTTTGCACTGAACAAGCAAACTCCAGCTATGGCCTCACACACAGCAGCTGAGATGGCCTGTGGTACTTCAGACTACCAGCGGGAGCTCACATGATTGAATACACATATATCATGGGGGGAAATCCCTGTACGCAGAAAACTAGTATGTCAGGGGAAAGGATGCCAGACTCTAGGTCTTTTTTTGTAGAAAAAGCCCAGCAGGAACTCATTAGCATAACAGGCCACACCCAACAACAGAAATTCATTAGCATATTAGGCCACATCCCTGACAGCATGGCTCATTAGCACATTAGGCCACATCCCCATGCCTTCCCTTGGCTTGCCCGGGCACCCTGCAGCTGTGGGGATCACGGGCAAGCCAGCCCTTGGAGGAAAGGGAAGGCAGTTTTAACTGCCTTCCCTTGGCTTGCCTGGGTGCCCCACGGCTGCGGGGAGCACGGTCAAGCCGGCCCTTGGAGGGAAGGGAAGGCAGTTTAAACTGCCTTCCCTTCCCTCCAAGGGCCGGCTTGACCGTGCTCCCCGCAGCCGTGGGGCACCCAGGCAAGCCAAGGGAAGGCAGTTAAAACTGCCTTCCCTTTCCTCCAAGAGGGGGGGCTTGCCCAGGCTCCCTGCATCCGTGGAGTGCCCAGGGAAGCCAAGGGAAGGCATAGGGTGTGGCCTATTATGCTAATGAGCTGTGCTGTCAGGGGTGTGGCCTAATATGCTAACAAGTTTCTGCTTTTGGGTGTGGCCTATTGTGCTAATGAGCCCTCGGGGTCTCACCTTCCCTCTGGCATGTGCGTGCAGGAATCCCTCCCACCAATATTTATCACATTTATATCCTGCCCATCCCGTAAACGGGCTCAGGGCGGGTTACAACGTTTCCATAAATACATTAAAATTTTAAAACACATTATAAGCATATAAAATCAATACTCATAGCTTGCTGTTGGGAGAGTCTGGCCCATTGATGTAGGTAGATATGGTCGGTTATCAGTGGGTGGGAGACAGCAACCCCGGGGGGGGCATATGTGGACGCCCGCAGCCTCAGCCAAAAGCTTGGCGGAAGAGCTCCGTCTTGCAGGCCCTGCGGAACTGCATAAGATCCCGCAGGGCCCTGATCTCAGCAGGGAGCCTGTTCCACCAGGTTGGGGGCCAGGGCGGAAAAAGCCCAGGCCCTGGTCGAGGCTAGGCGGACGTCCTTTGGGCCAGGGATCGCCAGGAGATGTTGATTCTCAAAGCATAACGCTCTTCGAGGCGTCTATGGGAAGAAGCGGTCCCTTAGGCATGTTGGTCCCAAGCCGTGTAATAGAACAGCATTCTACTATGTGAGGCCCATCTGCATTTTTGAAGCAGAGTGACCAGGACACTGATTTAAAACCCCGTCTGCTGCTTATGAGAAGTATACCTCTGTTTTAGGGATGTAAGTCACTTTTCTGTTTTTATTAAGAAACAGCTCACAAGCACCTGCTTATAAACAAAGGGCTACTTTAGAAGAGGAGGAGGAGATTGGATTTATACCCCGCCCTTCACTCGGAGTCTCAGAGTGGCTTACAAACTCCTTTCCCTCCCCCTCCCCACAACAGACACCCTGTGAGGTAGGTGGGGCAGAGAGAGCTCTGACAGAAACTGCCCTTTCAAGGACAGCTCTCATCAGAACTATGGCTTGCCCAAGGTCATACAGTTGCTGCAAGTGGAGGAGTGGGGAATCAAACCCGGTTCTCCCAGATTAGAGTCCGCGCACTTAACCAGTACACCAAACTGGCTCTTTAGGCATGCCCAAGCCCTTGCTTGTTCCCAGTGGGGAGCTCTTTTTTCTTTAGCCAGTTTGGTGTAGTGGTTAAGTGCGTAGACTCTAATCTGGGAGAACTGGGTTTGATTCCCCACTCCTCCACTTGCAGCAACTGTATGACCTTGGGCAAGCCATAGTTCTGATGAGAGCTGTCCTTGAAAGGGCAGTTTCTGTCAGAGCTCTCTCTGCCCCACCTACCTCACAGGGTGTCTGTTGTGGGGAGGGGGAAGGGAAAGGAGTTTGTAAGCCGCTCTGAGACTCCTTTGGGTAGTGAAGGGCGGGGTATAAATCCAATCTCTTCTTCTTGCAATTCAGAACCCTGTGCTCTGTCACAACCTGCTTTGAAGCTTGTCTCAATTTCAGGAAGAACCTGCCATGCTTTATTGTGGGACTGCTGTACAACAAATACAGAAGCCAAAGGCAACTGGGTCTCAGGCTAGCATCACTGTACTTTGCATTCCACTGGAAAGAACTAAAATGGAATATAATTCCAGTCTACATATTTTAACAAGTTCTCTCTTTCCTTTGGAAGCATAAACCATTTTGTTGTTGAAGGCTTTCACAGCCAGAGTTCATTAGTTGTTGCAGATTTTCCAGGCTGTATGGCCGTGGTCTTGGCACTGTAGTACCTGACATTTCGCCAGCAGGTGTGACTGGCAGCCCCACAGTGAAACGGAAAGATGGGGGTTCACATTGACACAGAGAGTACTCCATCTTTCTATGTTATACCTCTGAGGATGCCAGTCACAGCTGCTGGCGAAACGTCAGGTCCTACAATGCCAAGTCCACGACCATACAGCCCGGAAAATCTACAACAACTCATAAAACCATTTTGTTTTCAAAAGGGGGCTCTGTTCACAACTGGCAAAGGTTGGATCTGAACTGTAAAGAGTGTGGCTTTAAAAAATCAAATCCTGTAGGTAGGGTTTTTTTTAAAAAATATTTCACAAATCTCTGAAGCTCCACTCAGGCAAATAAAAATGACAGCTTGTCTCTCTATTCAATAGCTCTTATCAAGATTCAAAGGCTCATGAAATTTCCAACCACCTACAGTCTTGAGCTTGCAATAATCACTAAGAAGTTAGCAGATGAAACCATGCTCTGGAATACAAGCAACTTAACAGCAATTTAAATGGACAGCTCATGTTGTTTTCACAGTCAATGCATGCGCTCCATCTAAGCTGTGGAGTCTCGTGAGCAAAAACTACTTTGTGAGCTGCCGGCATTACAGTTGTGAGTGAGCGATTTGACTACTGCATAAATTAGTTTGCTCTGGAGCCATCCTTCCTGAGCTAAGGCAAAAATGTGTGAGCTGGAGGCTAAAAAACTGTGAGCTAGCTCACACTAAGCTTAGAGGGAACACTGGTTAAGAGGCAAAGGGCCCTGTGCCATTTACTTACAGCAAAACCTGATTTTATGAACTATCTGAGGACATAAAATAATGTTCAGAAAATTCTGCAGCTTCAGATTATGGTAAGTATAGTGTTTTCGGTCAGAAGAACATAAACTGAAACACTTATGTTGATTTATTTTTCAGTGATATTGTACATAATCAACACCAACAACTGTTTGACTGTAGAGACTAGACCGTGTCCCCAAGTAAGCTGTCTTAGTATTTTATTTGTATGAGTCTTATTTTGATTTGAGAGAACTAGCTATTTTCTGTGCCGCCAAATCTCTCAGGCTTTTCAGGAAGAGGAGTTGCACAACGTCACTTTCTTTTTGATCTTCCAGCCACTGCAGAGCAATCTCTAACGCATTGTAAGCTTCCGAATGGGATGGACCGGGGACGACTACGGTGTTGTAAATACTCTCAGGATCAGAGTCCTCCTCTGTTTTGAAATTTGCAAACTCCTGCTTTAAGCACTGAGCAGCTGACGGATCAACAGAGAGTTTCTCCTGATGAATGCCAAGATGGTGAATCCCATGGCGCGATTTGAATCTCGCCAGCCACCCTGAACTGGCCTTGAAGTCAGGGTTACCATTCAGTTTCCTGTTCATTTCTAAGGCCTTTTCACACAGAAGTGGGCCTGAGACTGGCTCGCCAAGACTTCTCATGTGGGAAAACCAGGCATAGAGAGCATCCTCTAACATCGAGTTCTTTGCACATTTCATTGTTTTCCGTTTCTTCTTCCCGTTTTCACTGCCCATGGTTGAGACAAAATGCAAGAGGTTGTCTTTGTTTTTCTTCAGCTGAGAAATGGTCGATTTCCCAATTCCAAATTCCTCTGCCAGCACGGTTGCTGTCTCGCCTTTTTCCAACCTTTCGACAATTTCTATTTTGCTTTGGAACGTGAGCACAGTTCGCTTGCGTTTCTTGGTCATTGTGAAAAATGGTGTGTTGCCCATACGCAGTCTTTCCATGCTGTTATGTTCTCAAGGATGGAATACGGGAAGATCAGTGTGCCCAAACCTCAAGTCCATGCAAACTTTCTACAATGCTTTAGTTCACACACATAGCACCTTGGTGGGTTTTTTCGTTTGCTGGCTGGATAAGAATGCTCCTAGGTTTAGTCATTCATGCAGCTAGTGTTCATAAAATCAGGGATCTACTGCATTGTAAAAAGGCTCTCCAAGTTTACGACACACACCACATACATGTAATACTTAACTGAGCAGCTAAGCATCAAAAACTTGGCAATGCAGACTCTTGGGGGGTGCTACACAGGTCACATGCTTTATTTCCATTGCCAAAATATTAAACAGTAGCGATGCAAAACTGGTGTACTTCGCGTTGTCTTACCATTCTGAAACACACACCTACAAAAGAATTTTAGAAAGAAAATTAAATAAATGCCAATTGTTCAATATACTAACAAATTATCTTTCAGAAAATAGGATGCCAGAAGTATTGCAACAAGTCCAGGTTTGCTGTGCTGTTTCACTATAATGGTGGGAAAAAAGCATGCAGAATGGTCGAGAGGACTATGAGTTTTGGGAAACTAAAGACAGTTGCTCTAATCTAGCAAGGCAGGTAAGCACCTGTATTGTGCCGCTCAGCTGAGCCCAGCTAACCTTGATAGATGCACCTGTTGATGCTGATAGGAATGCACACTGGCACCTGGGGCCTCTAGCAACACTGGCAGATATTTTATCTGCCGCTTTATCATGTGAGTTTTGTATGAAGTTAGGTTCTTAAATCAGTGATTTATGTTAATATTTGTACGGTTCTAATTGTCAGATTTGAAAGTTGCCCCAAGGACTCTGTTGGGCAACACTGGCAGAGTTCCATGGTATAAATGCAATCAATCAAATACAGGAAAATTGGAGCCAGAGTGTTTTAAGGCCTCCTTTTTGGCTCATCTGCTTATTACAGCTGGCAGAGGTAGAAAAATGGAGTAATGCTGTGCAAGCTATCATTTTTGGTACCAGGAATGGTGACTATTTGCCCAGTGTCATTATAATGTTCTTCTACCAGTAGTCAGTCTACAGTTCCTTGCCATTTATAAATATCTGGTGTCTTTTCTTCAGCCCCTGTTAAGCTTAAGTCATGAACCTGATCCAAAGAAATTCAGGTCTACAGTTCCTGCTCAGTTCCAGACTCTCTTGAGACCAGCTTCACAGCCTCCATGTCAAATAGTGGAAAAAAGAACTTATTCATCATGCAAGGAAGGGGTTCTGTGAGGAAATCTATTATAGATTCTTAGTTGTTCAGCTACCAGAGTAACAAGAACACAAACTCAACTCTAGAACCAGAGAATCATGGTAATTGTGAGCTAGAAGATCACTTTGAATAAAAAGTCTCTATATGTAAAATATGCAAAATGAAACGGCTTCTGAAAGCCAATATATACAGTGTGTGTGTATCATGCTGGTTGTCATCCTTACACTGAGGGGGTAGTTGCAACAGAACACTTGTGCATTAAGGATGCAGTCCTAGAGATATAACTGGTAACCAAGTTCCACTGAAATAAACATGCTTTTTTAACAGGTTTGGTATTTAGCTCAGATATTGTCATCAGCAAGCTGAAAACTGTATATCTGTGAATGTTCTAACATTCAGTTTGCCATACAGATGCAAACATCATAACAGAATGATTCAGCTGAGTCTTCAGTTACCATAATTCATTGTCCAAAAATTCAAAAAGTTCTACTTTCTGACTTCTCTTCACATGCAATCCAAACCCTCCAATCTATGTTTTTGGAATTCATTCTCAACCTGTCCATTCTTAAAAAATTGTATGCTACCTTTCTAACTAATTGCCTTATAGTAGTAATAAAAAAAGAGCATATTGAAACACATTAGATAAAATATATAAAGAGAGATGCCCCTTATTTCCATGTAAACCTGTTTAGCATTGGGATGATAATTGACAGAAGTTAATTTTAATGCACATATTTTGGATTACACACAATTCTAACTCTTATGGTGTGAACAAGACCTCATCCCCAACTGAAAAAAATTGGCCGCAACCCTCAGTCCACTAGGGAGTATCCCATTGAACTCAGTTGTACTTATTTCTGAGCAAAACTGCACGTATATATTAAGAGCACTTCCCCACATGCTTTTCCTGGTAGAGCTTCTCAATGGCATGCAGAAGGTCCAAGGTTCAATCCCTGGCATCTCCAGTTAGTTGGTGATGTGATCAGGTAGTTGGCGGGAAACAACTTTGCCTGAGACTCTGGAAAGCTTCTTGCCAGTCTGTGCGGACAATATTGATCTTATTGGGCCAATGGTCTGATTCTGCAGAAAGCAGCTCCATATGTACTTACATAAATGCTCCCACTAAGCTGTGGAGTTTTGTGAGCAAAGACTCTACTCTGTGAGCTACCGAGCGGGCGATTTGGCTACTGCATAAATCAGTTTGCTCTGGAGCCCTCCTTCCTGAGCTGAGACAAAAAATGTGTGAGCCGGAGGCTAAAAAACTGTGAGCTAGCTCACACTAACTCAGCTTAGAGGGGACACTGGTCTCCCCCATACCTCCTTACTCTGCCTCGCCTTTCCCTCCTCCAGTATTATTAACTACTAGTTTATTGGGTTAGCAGTTAGGAACCCTTTTGAGAGAGAGAAACGGTTTTTACATCTTCATGATGTTAAGTCCTATTGAGGCTTGGGGGAAAGGCTGCTTTCAAACCAGAAAAAAAGGAATGGAAGTTTTTGCTCAGAGCAGAAAAGGGAACGGGCACCCAAGGGCGAGTCCTTTGCCCTTCCCCAGTGCCTATGAGACAGTCCTATATGCATGGGCACTATGCCCACCGCTGTGACGTCAGTCCGTGCTGCCCTCACCCCCGCTTTTCTCCTTGACCTGCAGAGACCTTTTCCCACACATGCGTATTGCGCAATTTTATAAGGTCCGTATAACCCCCTCCCCACGGCAACATCACTCGCGCATGCGTACCGCCGTCTCTCTGCCAAGCTTTTCTCTAGACACCCGAAGGGGGACAGCCTCGCGCATGCGCAACCGAAGCGAACCTCTCTTTCCCCTTTCCCCCCAAAAATTCCCACCCACCCCCCTTCTTCTCTCCCCCCCCCCCCCCAGCTCACCCTGCACGTGGCCGAACACTTCGTAATCCACCGATTTGAGAACACCAGACATGATGCTTGCACGGAAAGGGAACCGGCAGCCTCTTGTGAGGAAAGGCAGAAAGCGACAGCTGAAGATAACCGAGCGCGGCTCTCACGGTCTCAGCTGGTAGGAGCCACGGACGGCAACGCACGAGGCTCAAGCTTCAAGGGATAGCGACCGCCCACCAGGCTCCTTCAGAGCATGCCGCTGGTGCTATCGACGGGTCCAGCCGGGGAGAGCGGCGCAAAGGAAACCAGCCCCCTCCTTCAGTTACTGTTGTTCCTTTTCTGTTATCAAGGGAAAGATCCGCGGCGGCGTAAAGAAACCCTGTCTTGCACAAATAGATAAAGGTTGCCGTCTTCCTACTAAAAGGAAGGACAGGATTGCTCATTGGAAACAATGGGAAAGACTTGAAGGCCCATTGGCAATAACGGGACCCAGGATTACCAATTGACTTGCATGGGCTCCATTGAAATACATTATAGTACACGTAGAGTTGCAAAGGAAATGGGGAATGGGTTTTCCATTAACGTCTCTGGGCCCAAACTGACTGCTCTGGGACTGGAATGACAGTCCCCAGAGTGGAATGACAGCCCCTGGGCGTAGCAGGAGTGTTCTGGAAGTGGAATGAGAGACCACAAAGTGGAATGACAACACCTGGAAGTAGCAAGGAGTATTCTGAGACTGGAATGACAGGCCCCATAGTGGAATGACAGCCCCTGGGGTGGCAGATGTGTTCTGGACTGGAATGACAGGCCCAAGTAGCAGAAGTGTTCTGGGACTGGAATGACAGGCCCCAGAGTGGAATGACAGCCCCTGGGGGTATAGGGCTGCCAAACCCCCCCCCCCCGGGGGCAGAAATCCCCCTGCCCCAGAGGCCCGTTCCCCGATGCCGGGGAATTGGGCCCCGGGGGGAACCCCGCCCCAGTGTGCACGTCACAGGGAAGTGACGTTATGACGTCGGGCACGCTGGGGGCGGGGCCACAGCCATACAAGGGAAAACTCTATGGTTATCCAATGTATGGTCGTGCCCCCGCCCCCAGCGTGCCCGGTGTCATGACGTCACCTCCCTGTGACGTGCATGCGGTGTGTGCACACTTTGCGCACCGGGGCCACGTAGGAGTCCCCCGCCGGCAAGGTAGGTAACATTTGGCGACCCTATGGGGGTAGCAGGAGTGTTCTAGGACTTGAATGATAGGCCTCAGTGTGGAATGACAGCCCCTTGGGGTAGCAGATGTGTTCTGGACTGGAATGACAGGCCCCATAGTAGAATGACAGTCCCAGGAGGTAGTAGGAGTGTTCTGGGAATGGAATGAGACCACAAAGTGGAACGATAGCCCCTGGAAGTAGCAGGAGTATTCTGGGAGTGGAATGACAGGGGCCACTGTGCGGCCTGTCATTCCAGTCCCAGAGTAGTCTATTTGGGCCCAGAGAGGTTAATGGAAAATGCATTCCGCATTTTCTTTGGAACTTTACTTTTATTGTAATGTATTTCAATGGAGCCCATGCAAGTCAATTGACATTCCTGGCTCCCATTATTTCCAATGAGCCTTCAAGTCTCTCCCATTGTTTCCAATGGGCAATGCTGTCCTTCCTTTTATTAGGAAGACTGCAGCCTTTATTTGTGTTCGGGGAATGGAATGAGGGACCACAAAGTGGAATGACAGCCCCTGAGGGTAACAGATGTGTTCTGGGACTGGAATGACAGGCCCCAGAGCAAGCAAATCAGAGAAAATACTTGGGTTCTGATCACATCATATTTGGATACACAACAAAGTTCATTTCACCACTACGATCCTGGTGTTGCCTGGCTAAGACTGTCAAGGCCAAGCGACAGATCGAGCTTCTGAGTGAGTCTAAGTACATTGTCCAGTTCCCTGCTGAAAGACCTCCCAAAAGAAGAATCTGGGCTGTGCCTCTGAGATCAGAGCAGGAGAGCATAGCGAGGCACACCTTGAGGCAAGGGAACCTGCCACAGTCTCGGATGTGTAGTCAGCTTCATGCCTGAAGGTATTTATCTACGGCTTCATCATGCATAAAGCTTCGTTTTGAAAATGAGAGCAAGATTTTCCTTGTCTAGAGGAAGGTTGCTGAGCCAAAGATTGATCCCCCCCCCAAAAAAAAGAAAATGTCAAGTAGTAAGCAATCCCGAGGGGAAAAAACCACAGAGGTGTAGAATTTCCATCCCGTGCCTTCAGGCTTTCTGCCCTCCTTTACTCACTCTTCTCCAACTGACAAGACTGAACCTCAGTGCACCTTGTACTTCTTCTCTAGACCCCTTGAAGTGGTATGCATGACAGGTATGGATTGGCAGCTTTCCCAATGAGTCCTTTGCTACCTGTGGCAAAGCTGGATGCACAGAACTGCAACTGGTGGTGAAGTACTTCAGAGTATAGCAGCAGGAAGGCAGGATCCTTCTTTTAAGGAGGTTGCTATTTAATGTCCAGGTCTAAAGATGTCCAGGTCTAAAGATGAATCAGTTCCTTAGCATATATAAGCATATATATGAATCAGTTGAATCAGTTCCTTAGCATATATATATAGCATATATAAGCATATATATGAATCAGATGAATCAGTTCCTTAGCATATATAAGCATTCCTTAGCATATATAAGCATATATATGAATCAGTTCCTTAGCATATATAAGCTTCTTGGTCTACCCACCAGTGGTCCACAGGAAGAATGTGAAACATCAGACTCTTCTGAACCAGATGAAGTGGTCCCCTTCCTGTTGGACAAGGAGGGGAAGTGTGAACAGGTCCTAAGAGATAGTTAATGGTGTCAAGGAGTCAAGTTCAGTGGTTCCAGGGTAAAAACATCAGAAGAGCCCTGCTGAATCACACCAGTGGTCCATGGAATCCAGCATCCTCTCACTCAGTGGCCAACCAGATCCTCTGGAGGACCAACAACAGGGTACAGAGGCCAAGGCCTTCATAAGACCATCAGAAGAGCCCTGCTGGATCAGACCAGTGGTCCATATGGAGGTTCCCCTCAATCAGAAGAAGAAGAAGAAGAAGAAGAAGATTGGATTTATACCCCGCCCTTCACTACCAGAAAGAGCCTCAGAGCGGCTTACAAACTCCTTTCCCTTCCCCTCCCCACAACAGACACCCTGTGAAGTAGGTGGGGCTGAGAGAGCTCTTTTCGAGGACTCTCTGAAAAAGGACATTCCCACCTAAGCGAGCTGATTAAGACCAGGGCTGCTTCTCCCCCTTTTTGCAGGTAATTTAAAGCCCGGGCTTGGCCAGAGATGCAAGCTTTTAACATGCATGTGACGTTGGTTCTTGGGCCCAGGGCCCTTTGTGACCCATGCAAAAACAGCACCCATCCAGGATGTTTTCATGGTTCATCAATGTTAAATGTGACTTGGGGATTATTGGGTCACGTATCCTTGTTACCTAAATTTGTATTTTTTAAAAATATGCATTTTATATTGTATGCCACTTAGAATTCTAAGTGCGGGGGAAAAGCGGAAGAAAAAGTATTGATAAATAAACGCTACTCCTGGGGTGGACAAAAGACAACGAAGCTAAATGGTACAGCTCTGCCCCTTTAAAAATGCATGACGGCATCTTCTGCTTGGCTTTGGCACAGCCGGCACCTAAAACCTTAGTTTAGCAAAGCCGTTATGTGCCTGTATAACCATGAAGAAAAAGCCAGGATTCCTCAGGCCTGTACATTTCTTCCCTCTTCACCTCCCATGTGGCAAAGACTGAAGAAAGACAAACCACAGTTTTCTGTTAACTTCTTAATTGGGTAAAATGGTACATTGCGGTTTGTCTTCTTGTCTTCAAGCCAGGACTCTAAACTAGCATAAACTGTAGCTTAGAATTCTAGTTTGCCAGCAACAGAACCAACCAGCTTCCCACCCCACCCCAATTTTAAACTTCACAAGACAACTGTTTCAGGTCATCAGTCTCTGAGCCAGGGGTGAGGACAGCAGGGAGAACACATAACAAAGGATTAATACATTTAGAAACCAATTCTATCTGCCTCTGTCCCAAAGGAGGCAGGTTAACTTCCTACATCATTCTAATTCAGAACTGGACTAGAGTTTGTCCTTTACATTTGACTGAACAGAAAGTTTATTGTATGTGGCCATTGGCCATCACAATTTCATGTAAAACTGGATCCCTAATATCTTAAAATGCACATTTAGTTATTAAATTCAGTGAGAATTAAATTCATTACATTTGACTGCAGCCCCAGTGTTTCCTGATCAGCTCTCCCACACCAACTCTCCTCCCCCTCGAAAAATCCCCGTCTCAAACTTCCTACGTGCCCAGTTTGTGAACCGCATGGAGCCCGCTCGCGGGGAGGGAGGGCTATAAATCTCATAATAAATGAAATAAATTTGCACATGCCATTTAGAGAAAGCTTATTAACCATTATCAACATTAATGCGGTAAAACATTCTGATCGAAAATAGGAAATAAAGTTATGTTAGGTACTTCAGCTCATCAAGAACCAAGCATTTCAGTGAGACATGATAGTTTAAAAGCGAGCTTGTCCTATAATGCAGGCACTGCCTCAGAAGTCTGGATACAAACACGAGACTACTAAATAAAGGCCCCGGTCACACGGAGCATTAGGCACGCTAGAGAGACGGAAGATAGGCGGATTTTCCGGGCGCAATCTCACCGCCACATCTGGGAAGCGTAGAGCTCCCGTGGCACACCCGAGGCTTCCCGCCAAAGATGTGGGGTAAAAAACTAGTACCTCCGAGGTACTAGTTTCCGTAAACCGCGGGGCAAGGGCGGGCATCTGATCGCATTTCCGGTGGTAGTTCCGGTGCCCGCCCCTTCCCTCACAAAAAGGTTTTTATTTTCCAAGTCTCCATGGATGCACACAAGCACCCAACGGAGCATGCGCACATTTCAGTTTTTTTTAAAAAAAACACAACCCCGTTTGCCGCTCCGCTTCTTTGCCGCGTCGTGTGATTGGCACCTCCCCCCTAACCACGGGAGCTCCCGGCGTCAGCGCAGCTCAAGAGGCGAGAAGAAGGGAGGGGCGGCTTAGCTTCAGCAACGGCACCCCCCCCCCCCCCCCCCCCGCATTTTCCTGCCCGTGTGGCCGAGGCCATTGATGATTAAATTGTGTATTTTTATAGCATCAACTCAAGAAGGGCCCTGCTGGATCAGACCAATCCAGCATCCTGTCTTTCCCCCGTTCAGTTTCAGTAAGTTCAGAGCCCATTAGCCTATACTTGAAGTTGGGATTTTTTGTTCCGCTGTGCATCACCTTACACTTACCAGCACTGAATTTTACCAGCCACATCGTTGCCCACTCACCCAATTTGTGGTGATCCTCTTAGAGCTTTTCACAGTCATCCTTGGTTTTCACCATCCTGAATAATTTTGTGTCAGCTGCAACCTTGACCACTACAATATTCCTCCCTAGTTCCAGATCACTTATGAACAAATCAAATAGTACTGGCTCCCATACCAATCCTTGTGGTAGCCCACAGCTTATTACCCTCCATTGTGAGAACTGTCCATTTCTCCTACTCTTTCCTTCCTGTAATTTAACCATTTTTTAAAATCCGTAACAAAACCCATCCTCTTATTCCATGAAAGTGAACAAGCATGTAAATAACGGTGATTAGACTTTATATGCTTGGAGTAAACCCAAAAGTTGAAAGTCTGAGTATATAATGTCTACTGGGTCACTGTGGTCTACCTGCTTGTTCACTTTCTCAAAAAACTCCAGGAGGTTGGTGAGGCAGGACTTCCCTTTGCAGAAGCCATGCTGATTTTCCCTCAGCAGGCTTTGTTCCTCTAAGTGCCTAATAATTCTGTTTTTGTTTACAGTTTCTACTAATCTGCCAGGAACAGATTAATTGGCTTGTAGTTTCCTGGTTCCCCTCTGGGCCCCTTTTTAAATATCAGAGGAACATTTGCTACTCTCCAGTCTTCTAGTACAGCCACTAAATTTAGTCATAACTTACATATATGGGTAAGTAGATCAACAATCTCACATCTGAGTTCCCTAAGAACTCTCGGGTATATGCCATCAGGACCTGGAGATTTCCTGGTTTTTAAATTTAAATTTCCTGGTTTAAAACAATAGGGCTAAAATATAATCTCCTGTCACCTCAATTCGACTCAGTTCTTTGGACTCCCTTTCTGAAAATAGTGGCTGTGGCATGGGTGCATGGCCCACACTTTCCACAGTGAACATGGAAACAAAAAAAATTGAGTTGCTCTGCCATCTCCCTTTAGTAATCCCCTTGGTCATGCAAAGGTCCACCCCTGCTAGCACTGACCTGGATAGCCCAGGCAAGCCTGATCTTGTCAGATCTCAGAAGCTAAGCGGGAGACTTCTTTGGAAAACCTGCAGTCGGGATGCGGGGGCAGGCTTTATTCAGCCATCTCTCTGAATCAGTGTTCCCTCTAAGCTGAGTTAGTGTGAGCTAGCTCACAGTTATTTAGCCTCCGGCTTACAGGTTTTTGCCTTAGCTTGGGAAGGAGGGCTCCAGAGCAAGCTAGTTGATGCAGTCGCCAAACGGCTCACTCACAACTTTAATGCCGGGAGCTCACAAAGTGGAATTTTTGCTCACAAGGTTCCGCAGCTTAGAGGGAACATTGCTCTGAATATCCTCCAGGCCTCCAGTAGGGGTCAGATACCATGGCTTCCAGGTGTGCACACACGCACATATATGAAAAATATATACAAAAACCCATCACCCCCAAAAAACAAAAAGCCAAAGGCCCACCTGCTTTTCTGGCTGGTTTCTTGCTCCAGATATTTTTTAAAAGAAATGTTTACTGTTCGTCTTGATGTTTTCAGCAACCTGCTTCTCGAATTTTCTTTCTGCATGCCTAATTACTGACTTAACGTTTCTTTTGCCAGAGTTTGTGGTCCCTTCTGTTCAATTCACTGGGGCAGACCTTCCACTTTTAAAAAGAAGCCTCTTCACTTTTAATAGCTTCCTTGACTTGGCTCAGCATCCCAAATGATCTATAATCTTCATATTGCTTTCTTTAAAATAACCTTGCCAAGGTTATTTATTCTTTTTGCACTGACTGGGAAACCGAGGGCACAAATATTACTTTCCCCAAAACAACAATATGATTATGGCTGAGGGGGATTTAAACCTAGATTTCCCATCTCCAAATGAAACGTATCTGTCACTAGTGTTCCTTCTAAGCTGAGTTAGTGTGAGCTAGCTCACAGTTTTTTAGCCTCCAGCTCACACATTTTTGTCTTAGCTCAGGAAGGGTGGCTCCAGAGCAAACGAATTTATGCAGGAGGTAAATCGCTCGCTCACAACTTTAATGCCAGTAGCTCACGAAGTAGAATTTTTGCTCACAGGACTCCACAGGTTAGAGGGAGCATTTTCTGTCACTGGAACATTCATTGGTTTGAGCTATCCTTCAAACAAACTCTAGGTATTTCATTAAAATCTTACCAACTGGAAGAGGCAAAGCCACCTTGTACCATAATGTCGGATATTTCTTCATTATGTACAAATGCTATGCTGAAGTTATTAACATTTTCTTCAACAGAATTCCTAATCCCTGAATTTACTTACTCTGAGTTGCATAATGCCTCCTGCAAAGGACCACATTTCTTCACGGCCTGGTATATAGTAGACATTTATTAAATTAAATACAATGGGGAAAAGAAGAATTTACAATGCAAGAGACAAAACATACCAACTTCAACAAAGTAAAAAACAATGTCTTGAGAATTAAGAGCAAAACACCCCCTATACAGTATTATAGGTCAGCCAACACAAGCAGTTATATCTGCAAACAGAAACACTTGGTACCATCAGCGTGCATCAAACGGCAACAGAGAAAAAGTTGGAAAGCATCTAGCTAGACAAAAATATTCCTGGATTTTGCCAACCACAGGACCTTGGCAGGACTGAAGCTAGTGCCAACAACTTTCAGCAAATACCAGGATTCCACAGCAGCTTCTGGGCTACAGAGAGATGTACAAAGCCAAATATGCTATTCTGTTGAGAAGCATATAGAAAACAGATAGGAAGGATTGTGTGCGACATAGCATTTAGTTCAAACAACAGACTAGTGCGTTTCAATTCTGTACATCAGCAACTTGCACCCCGGTCTTACTACAAATATCGGAGAGGCAATTCTGACTAAAATCCACAGAAACTTTCCCAGTATTTGCTTTCCCTTTGCATGCTTTAGATAGGGTATTATTCCAGGCAGCAGCCCAGCGGAGATATGCATATGATGAGTGTGGCCATACTTGGGTTTACCCCTTTTAAGGACAAAGAAAATATAGTAATCAGTGAGGCCAGCTATTAATTTCACAAAAGACTGTGTACTGTCATCTTCTTCATTATAAGAGAACACACAGGGAATTAACTATCCATTTACTACTCACAATCCACAGAAGTTCTCTGCTTCATTACATAAAAATGCAACTTAATGATCACTGACCTTCCCAGACTTTATACAGGCCTTCTATCTTGGAACCTTCCATAAGCTAGATTTAGTTTAACATTCCCACGTCAGTATCCTGATTGTGAAAGTTCATTCTCAGAACCTCTTTGAATATGTCTATAGTTCAGCTCTAAAAAGAATGAGATGGGCAATCTGAGGTCATTCCTAAACTACAAGCGACTCTTCAAGCATTCCAGAGTAATCATCAGCATCTAGAAATGTACAGTTTCCTTGCATTTTGCGGTCCTTGCTTATTCCATTCATATCGCCCTAAAACAGAAGGTTTTATGGACAAATCATTACTCCAGGTTTTCCTGACAACTTTTGAGTCATCTTCCTCATAAATACCTAAATGCCACAAGACTTCCCCTGCTGTGATGCTAATTAGACAAATGCACATCATTAAATCATAAGGATAATCTGGAAGTTCTGCGGAGTATGAAGAAAGGGACAAAGCTAATTTTATGACGGATATACACTTCTAGAGCAGGTTGCAGGAAAACCCGCTTCACAACTGATTGTATCCATGAATCTAAAAAGAAACAGAAAGTGGGGGGAAGGGAGAGAGAATTTCACATTTACAAATGCAAGTCTAATCAAACAGGAAGATTAGTTGTTATAAACATCAAACAGTAGAAAAAAACACAGATTTTTGGTACTATCTTTAAAAGTCATTTTCCCACATATACTTTAATCATAAAAAAATAAATATTTGAACTATAGCTGGCCATGCCAGGAGCATTCAAGGTGATATGCTAAAATAATTAAGTGGACATAAGGTTTTTTTTTAAAACAACAACAACAACAGAAAGCTTGATTAAGAGAAGCAAAATAGACGGAAGACAAGAACCATGAGCTCTTCTTCCAAAGCAATAAAATCCACAACCGATTCGAATGCCTGTGTGCTGTGTTCAAAACCTTGAGTAGTACAAAGTATGGCTGAGTTATAGACAGCATTTAATTTTTAAGAAACCAGCAAAAAAGCCAAGCTGCACATTGTAACAAAAAAATGTGCATATTAAAGTGCATCGCTTCACTTTCCGAAACAAACAAACTCGCTGATTAAATGGAGATACTCTGACACCTTCCGACTCTATGCTGTTAAAACATATACAGTGAATTTGTACAATTTCCCCCTTCTCGTGTTTGGGGATTAATATTTCAATTTTGGCTCCTCCCACTTTCACAAATGAGACTCGCATGTCTCACCTCTGATTAAATTAAGGCCCACTGAGTCATTGCAATCTACTTTCTCCTTAAAAGTTATGCCTTGAAAATAATTCTAGTCCGAAAAAACTATCCTATTCTACTCATACCTGCCTCAACAACATGTTTCTTTTCAGAGCATTTTGTCAACCAATCACGAGAATATTTATTAAGAATATCAAACGTTCCCAGGTGTAAAATTTCTCTTTTCGTTCTTTCCAATGTACATAAATGCAGAAGCAATTAACAGTGCAAGTAAACACACAAGCACGTCAGGAAACAATCCTTTCCCTCTAATATATGTTGCTACTGTGTTCTGACAAACTAGTAGCCGCAGACTTCAGAAGCACAGCAACGCAGCAAAGGATAGCAATTGGCCCTAAATGTAGAAAATCAAATATATTGCATTAGTACCCAATTAATATATTTAGCACGGGGATTTCACCAGAAAGACTGTGGGGGCTACTAGAATACCAATTTGCCTACATTGAGAATGTTACAAATCGCTGCAATGCTCACATACCCCCCCACCCACCCCCGACGAACTATGTAACGGCTCCGTATGCCTGAAAGAAAGGGGCCATTTATTGAAAACTTTGGATAAAAGCACTTTCTGGAATGGCAATCTTCTCTCACCTATCAATATTACCACCCCGCCCCCCCCGCCCCAATGCATAGTGTTAAACAGGCAAATGTGCTTGTCTGTGCACAAACATGTGTGTGTTCTCTCCAAAACAGGGAGAGAGAGAGAAAGAAGCAGCATGGATACCTCCCTCTACCTCTCTCACATAGAAATGCAGCCATAAAGGGCTGGACTGATATGACCAGAAATGGGTGAGGTTTCTAAAGATAGTATGGAAAAAAACAAATGCGCAAATGTCCAACGACAAAAAACGAAGGGACCACAATCTTTTCCAGACAGGATGGTTTCTCAGGAAATTCTTCCTCTAGCTAAATCCCTGGCTTGGCAAATCAAAGGAGGGATAACAATGAAGGTGGGGAATGCGCAGAAGCATTTAGGACTCCTCGGCGATCTGAAGCAAGGAATTGATCGCTGCATCCTTGTTCCCCCGCTGGGCTTCTAGAACGGAACGGATGACTTCTCTGTCCATGTTGGGGAACATGTCCTGGATCGATTTTAGATCCTCTTCATTACACACGTGCTGAGGATTGACCGCGGGAGGGGGCACTGCCACAGGGACCATCCCCGGGTTACAAACGGCGGGCATTCCTGAAAGGAGAGACACAGGAAGGTAAGGAAAACTGATAACGTGGGTAAAGATGATGTACAGTTTCAAAATGCTATCCAGTTTGGAAAGTTACTTAAACCACAACTCAGAGGATTCCTTACACCCAGGGCTCTTTTTGCAGAAAAAGCCCAGCAGGAACTCATTAGCATAATAGGCCACACCCTGACCACACCACTCATTAGCACATTAGGCCACACCCCCATGTTACCAGAAGTGTGGTCATCCAGCCACACCCACCTTTCCCTTCTTATTCTGTTTACCTTGTTTGTTGTCAAAACCCAGGGCTTTTTTTGTACCAGGAACTCCTTTGCATGTTAGGCCACACGCCCCTAATGTAGCCAATCCTAATGAGTTTCTGCTATTGGGTGTGGTCTATTGTGCTAATGAGTTCCTGCTGGGCGTGGCCAACTCAGGAGCCAGCCGGGAACTCCGTTCCTGTGCGTTCCTGCCCAAAAATAGCCCTGCTTACACCTTATACCAACAGGAAACACTAATTCCAAGTGTGCAGTGGCCCAAAACCTTCTCTATCTATACTGTTATATTCTGCGTGTCAAAGCATAAGCATATACAAATAAAAGCATGAGCAGGGGGACTTGGTCCTAAGATCAGATTTCCATTTGGTAGCGGTAGAAGGACAGAGTGCCCCTGACACCACTTCTCTTTGATCACAGTTATAGTGGCAGAAAAGAACAGGGAACATGCTCCCCACGGAGATCAGGGCCCTGCGGGATCTTACTCTGTTCCGCAGGGCCTGCAAGACGGAGCTCTTCCGCCAGGCTTTTGGTTGACGCAGCGGGCATCCACACCCGAGGTTGCTGTCTCCTACCTACTGGCCACCCATCTGCTAGCAACCGGCCGTATGCATCAGTATTACTGGGTCGGAATTTGCACCAGTAGCTGTAACTACTGATTTTAAATGCTTATAATGTAATGCCTTATTGAGTTTTAAACTTTGCTGTATTGTTTGAGATGATGTGACCCGCCCTGAGCCCGCTCACGGGATGGGCGGGATACAAATACAATAAATAAATAAGTAAATAAATAAAATAAGAAAGGCAGAGTGGCAATAAAAGGAAAAGTAAAAAAAAAAGACTGCATCTCTCAGTAACCGTCTGCAGACGACACTATCCATTCACGAGCAGAAGAAATCCTTTCAATACGCTGGGAGATTTGGCCATTGAATGGAGTTTTGCCCTTGCTAACAGGTAGATGCAAAATTAACAATCGTATGTGAGCGTTGTTACCATTAGACCACCAATAAGGCTGTAGGAATCATTTCAGTAAATATTAACTGCTGGTAAAAGGCATGAAGGTTTTCCTGTCATCTCGAAATCTGGCACAGCAAAACAAAAGTCTATGTATTTCTGCAAGATTTTAGAACTAAGTATGTACTGTCCATTTTCATTCGTTTGGTGCACACATTGTCTAATATCACCCAAATTAACTGAACATTTTGACAAGGACTGCCCATGGTCAAGATCAGTATTCCCTCTAAGCTGAGTTAGTGTGAGCCAGCTCACAGTTCTTTAGCCTCCGGCTCACACATTTTTGTCTCGGCTCAGGAAGGGATGGCTCCAGAGGCAAACTAATTTATGCAGGAGTCAAATTGCTCGCTCACAACTTCAATGCCAGTAGCTCACAAAGTAGAATTTCTGCTCATAAGACTCCACAGCTTAGAGGGAATATTGGTCAAGATCAAGTTAATCAAGGTAAACTACTGTGAATGTAGCAAGCACCCGAGGGCAATATTCTGTACTGTGTAAGGGGCGATCAAGGCAGCAACAAAGCCTGCTCACAGGATTGTTGGGGACCAGTGTTCCCTCTAAGCTGAGTTAGTGTGAGCTAGCTCACAGGTTTTTAGCCTCCGGCTCACACATTTTTGCCTTAGCTCAGGAAGGAGGGCTCCGGAGCAAACTCATTTATGCAGCAGCCAAAATCACTCCCTCACAACCAGGGCTCTTTCTGTAGAAAAAGCCCAGCAGGAACTCATTAGCATAACAGACCACACCCAACAGCAGAAAATCATTAGCATATTAGGCCACACCCCTGACAGCACCACTCACTAGCACATTAGGCCGCACCCCCATGTTACCAGAAGTGTGGTTATCCAGCCACACCCACCTTTTGCTTCTTATTCTGTTTACCTTGTTTGTTGTCAAAACCCAGGGCTTTTTTTGTAGCAGGAACTCCTTTGCATGTTCGGCCACACACCCCTAATGTAGCCAATCCTAATGAGTTTCTGCTGTTAGGTGTGGCCTGTTATGCTAATGAGTTCCTGCTGGGTGTGGCCAACTTGGGAGCCAGCCGGAACTCCGTTCCTGTGCGCTCCTGCCCAAAAATAGCCATGCTCACAACTTTAATGCCAGCAGCTCACAAAGTAGAATTTTTGCTCACAAGACTCCACAGCTCAGAGGGGGCATTGTTGGTGACCTCAGTCAGAGGGGTACAACGCCTCTATGGAGTTGCTTGCTCTTAGGTAGCACATGTGAAGCGCAAGACTGCAGCCATACACTCTCTCAGGTAAGCTCCTCAAATGAACAACAGGACCACAATCAATACTCCCTCTAAGCCGTGGAGACTTGTGAGCAAAAATTCTACTTTGTGAGGTAATGGTATTATAGTTGTGAGTGAGCGATTTGGCTGCTGCTGCAAAAATTAGTGCGGTCTGGAGCCGTCCTTCCTGAGCTAAGACAAAAATGTGTGAGCTGGAGGCTAAAAAACTGTGAGCTAGCTCACACTAACTCAGCTTAGAGGGAACACTGATCATGGTTAGCTTTATGAAGGCAGCTTCAAATAACAGGGAGGGAAAACAGTCTATGCACATGTGAAGACCGTGCATTTCATCTTTTAAAAGTTTCCCATTACAGACGCTACACAAGAGTCATATGCACTCCAGTTCTACTTCTGTGTAATGGTAAATGCTGATTTCAGGCTACAGTTAGACGGGATGACGGCTCACTTATCCAAATGCATCAAGAGAGACTTTAATGGAATATACTACAGTTGAGCACGTAACAATGATTAACAATCGCATGTTCTGCTTTTGGATTAAAAAGTTATACTACGCACTACTTACAGACTTACGTGACAAGTAAATTTATCTGAGAAAAGGTTTGCGGACAGAGTTTACAGTTAACATAAAAGAGTACAAAGCTTAGCACTTACAATCACATTTATTTTTACTTGAATAACTGGCAGCTATAGCGCTCACATGCTTGTTTTCAGTATTTAAGTAATGCATTAGGCCAGGGGTGGCCAAACTGTGGCTCGGGAGCCACATGCAGCTCTTTCAGACATATTGTGCGGCTCCCAAAACGGCAGCTGGGGAAGCAAAGGGGAGGCATCCTTTTTCTCCCTCCCTCCCATCTCTTTGCTTTCTTTGTTTTTCTCTCTCTTTCTTTCCACCTCTTTCATTCTTTCTTTCCACCTGTCTCTTTTTTTCTTTCCACCTGTCTCTTTCTCTCTCTCAGACAAATATCATCAGCAAACAAATAAATATCACTGGACAAATAAATATCATTCTCAAAACCTGTTTTTACCCCCTTTGTTTTTATTTTTGGCAGTCTCATTTAATGTTATTAAAAAAGCAAATTTGCATATTTAAAAAAAATAAAAACGACTCTGTAATATTTGTTCATGTCTTGCGGCTCTCAAACATCTGACATTTATTCTATGTGGCTCTTACGTTGAGCAAGTTTGGCCACTCCTGGCCAATGAAGAGGCATGGCCTTGTCTGTTCCACTTCTCATTCTGTGCAAATAACAGATCAACTAATAACCTGAATATCGACATTAGGAAGATGTAACATTAAGGTATAATTTTTGCAGGGGAAAAGGGAAACGCTTAAATTATTGACCAGATGGCTTGACTGAATTAAGAAGCTTTACACCAACACAGTTTCTGCCCTGTTACTTCTGGCTTACAGGGGACAGGTTTCAAGTTGCATAAACCCCATTTTGTCTCAAAGGCACCAGCGCTGCTGCAGTAAAAGCATTCAGGTGGAAAGAATGAAATTTAAAATGAAATGTGCACATAAAATGACAAGGCATCTTGATAGTGCATACTGGCCGTTTGTCAACAAGCAATGCAAGCATAGCATGAAAAATGAATTCATTCGGAATTTCACAGAAAGCATCGCTCATTAAAAAAATGTTCTAGTACAGTCAAGTGCCTTTTGTTGGGGGGGGGGGGGATCTACACAAACACAGGCATTTGTTCCACAGACAAAATATTCGTACATTGGTAAATGCTACGAACAGGAGGAGAAGACCCAGCTTTTATTAGCATACCCACTGATCACTTAAAATTGTTACTTGTACCCTTCTGCCAAGCTGAATTCCAAGGCAAAGAGTTTTATTTATTTACTGTTTCTTCAACTACTTCCAACCGAAATACTACAAACATTTTAAGTAGGAGACCAAAAAAGCATTTCTGTAAGACACTTGACTGAACATTTTATTCTGCATTTAACAATGAGGATGTCACAATACTCAGATTCTAACAGTGCAGGATAGCAGATTCAGCGTAGGAGTGACTGAGACACAACATTAAAGCAGCCGGGGAGGGGGAAATACAGCAAAAAGGAGCTAGTCATCAGCTTTGGAGATGGGAATCGCTAATTTTTTCTCGTATATATTTGGATTCATAAACGATATACTGCACCTTCTGAGATAGCAAAACAAAAGTCTAAATATTGCTGCAGAGTTTTAGAACTAAATATGTACTTTCTTTTGATCTATTTCATGGCGTGGCCCCACTGTTTATCGTTTTGTCTCTATCAACTAACTGAAGAAAACACTTCATATATGGGAGTGGAAACTGTGGGTTGCTCCCACAGTGAGCTCAGAGCAAGAGACGGTTACTGGACCTCACTGAACTGTCCACAGGGAGAATCCACCAATCCCATATTATACAGTGAAAAAGGCAGACCAGAAACAGAGTGTTCAGACCCTACCAGTGGTTCTGAGCAGACTCAGAAAGA